AGAGACATATGGGAGTGTGTGGGGACTCTAAACCTGGGAATGCTATTAACACCTATAGGCCTTGTACAAAAGGATATTAGAAAACTACTAAGCTAGCTACAGGGTAAGGTGCAACTAAATACATAAGGGAATAGGGGTAACAGCAGGGGGTAGGGCAGAGTTGGGGCCAGGTTGAGTCAGGGTTGAGCCAGGGTCGGAGCCAATACAGGGACCCTTCGGATGGGTTCTGGGCGACCTAAGATGGAATGAGAATTATTACAATCTCTATATTAAGTTTTCTCTAGCTAATTAATGTAGCTTTTAAAATGTAAAAGCATACTTTAATTTTTAGTTTATGCTAGTATTTAGCTAATTCTAGTAGTTTTTTTACACTTTACTGTTATTACTATTACTACTTTCTTTAATATTTCTACTTTTACTATTACTAGCTTTATTATTACTATTACTTTTAGTAGTATTTTTTTATTTATATTATTATTATTATTTTGTAGTTCTTTATTACTTAGACTAAACTATAATAAGTAACTATTACTTAAATAGTTATTATTATTTACTACTTAGTTATTATAGATAACGTACTTTACAGGCGAGTTGCTTACACACCTAAGTTGCTTACTTTTACTAAAACCTTACTAAACTACTTTTTCTACACTAATGCGTTTCTAATAACACTACTTAAATATGCTAAAAAATGTTAGATATAGCTTACACTTTAAGCTTTTAAATAAAACATAAAACTTTTAAAGAAATGTGCTATAGCTATATATAAAGTCTTTTAAAAAAAATAATAAATAACTACAGCACTAAATAACTTTTATAAGCTAATTTTACAGCTAACTTATAAAAGCTAACTAATAAAAAAAAGTAGGTAATTATTAAAACTATACTTAAGCTATATACATAAAGATTTTCCTTTTAAATAGTATTTATAGCTAATATAGCTAATTCTTTGCGCGCTAAGTATAATCTAGGCTATGTTAGCATTAACTAGCTTAGTACATTTAAAAAGTGTTATCTAAACTTTAAAGTAACATTTACATGTAGTATAACTATAAGAGAGCTTTTTATAAAAGTTCTAGAGTAATTTAAAGTAAGTTTAGCCTTATAAAAAATATTAAAGCTAAGTATAGCATTTAGAATAATAATAAGTATAACTTTAGCAAAACAGGCTTTATTATAGGCTAAATATGTATTAACTATACTTACACTTAAAACTTTACTTTAAGCTTTAAATAACACTTTATAAATATACTAGGTGTAACGATTCTCATGAATCGTTCCATCTCGGGTCGCCCGGAACCTATCCGAAGGGTCTCTGTATCGGCTCCGACCCTGGCTCGACCCTGACTCGACCTGGCCCCGACTCTGCCCTGCCCCCTGCTGTTACCCCTATTCCCTTATGTATTTAGTCGCACCTCGCCCCGTAGCTAGCTCGGTAGTTTTCTGATATCCTACGTACAAGGCCTATAGGTGTCATTGGTATTCCCAGGTCTCTGAGTCCCCACGCACTCCCATATGCCTCTGAGTGGATTCATACCGCATTCGGACCCATTGTCTTGCCTGCGCCGTTACATTAGGCTAGTTTATGCTAATATAGCCTAGATTATACTTAGCGCGCAAAGAATTAGCTATATTAACTATAAATGCTATTTAAGAGGGAAATCCTTACGCATATAGCTTAAGTATAGTCTTAATAATTACTTACTTCTTCTTATTACTTAGCTTTTATAAGTTAGCTGTAAAATTAGCTTATAAAAGTTATCTAGCGCTATAGTTATTTATTCTTTATTTAAAGAACTTTATACATAGCTACAGCATGTTTTTTTAAGAGTTTTATGTTTTATTTAAAAGCTTAGAGCATAAGCTATATCTAATATTCTTTTAGTATGTCTAAGTAGTGTTGTTAGAAATGCATTAGTGTAGGAAAAGTAGTTTAGTAGGGTCTTAGTAAAAGTAAGCAACTTAGGTGTGTAAGCAATTGCCTGTAAAGTACGTTAGTATTTATATTTATTTTATTAAAATTAGCTATTAAAGTTACTAGTTTTAAAAGTTTTTTACTAGTGAACCTAGTACACGTAGATTAGAGCGCTTAAAAATATTAGCATCTAGAACAATTCTATAGTATATAGCTAAATTATTATTAGAAGTTAGTAGTTACTTTACTAGACTTTGTAACAGCGCAGGCAAGACAATGGGTCCGAATGCGGTGGGAATCCACTTAGAGGCATATGGGAGTGCGTGGGGACTCTGAACCTAGGAATGCTATTAACACCTATAGGCCTTGTATAAAAGGATATTAGAAAACTACTAAGCTAGCTATAGAGGTAAAGTGCAACTAAATATATATAAAAATAGAAGTAATAGCAGAGAGTAGAGTAGAGTTAGGGCTAGGTTAAGTTAGGGTTAAGCTAGAGTTAGAGCTAATATAGAGACCCTTTAGATAGGTTCTAGGCAACCTAAAATAGAATAAAAATCATTACACTACTTCTCTCTTTATAAACTAATAGTTTTTATTAGTAGTAATAATATTACTGTTACTTTTTTTATTTTTAAACTAAACTAGGTCTAATTTAGCTAAGTGTTCTTACTCTAAGTATTTCTTTGCACTGCTAGCAGTTTCCTCTACACTAAACACTATGCGTGCGCGCCTATTCTAATAGTAATTTGTATAGATGTCTAGCCTATAAAAAATTAAAGCTTACTATTATTCTTTACTATCTATATAGTTATTAATTTTAGGTGTGCGTTTAGTAAAGTAGTATTAGGCATTATTAATAGTGCCTAAAAGGTCTTTTACTATTAAAGTAGCAGAGATAATTTAAGGCATTATTAAAGGTAATTTAGTAGTTACTTAGTAGTGTTTTAGTAAATTAGCTGCTTAAGCTATGCTTATAATTAAGCATAAATATACTACTAAAAGTTAACTTTAAATTAGGTAGGTCTAGCTTTAGGTCCTACAGACGCAGGTTTAGCTATTAATAAGGTAGTAGTTAGTAGTTAGAGGTTAAAAGTTAAATATTAGTAGTTATCTCTAATTTTAATAAGTTATTAGTAGTCTTTAAGTTTCTACTTTAGTGTATTTTTTATAACTTTTTTAAAAGTAATTTTAATTATATAAAAATAAAAAGTTTTAAACTTAAAAGCTTTAGTTAACTAAAAGTTAATAAAATCTAGTCTATAAACTAAATAGTTTAATATAATAGTATGTAAGTATTATAACCTAAACTAAATTAGACATGTCTTAGGCTTAGACATAGTTAAATAAATAATTAGTGTAATATTATATAAAGCTATTACTAGCAAAAGTAAGTTTTCTAATAACGTACCTAACAGGTTAGCCGGCCACACAGGTTGGCCGGCCACTTTTGCTAAGCCCCTACTAAACTCTACCTATCTACATAATGCCTTAACAACAACACTAGATTAATTTTTCTAAAAAATGTTAAATATAGCTTACTTTTTAAGCTCTTAAATAAGACTTAAAACTTTTTTTATAACACGCTGCAGCTATCTATAATGTCTTTTACATAACACTAAGCAATTAACGCGCTAGACAGCCTTTATAAGCAGAATGCTAGCCTAAATTAAAGAATTTAACTAAGCTTAAAAAAAAGTAGTTGTTAAGTACATACTTAAGCTTATTACACATAGATTTTTCTTTAAGCTTATAGCTATAGCTAATATAGCTAATTCCTTACCTGTAGAGCGTAATCTAGGCTAGGTTAGCTTAAACTAGCCTAGTATGTAGGTTAAGCACTGCCCTAAGTTTATAATAAAGTTTAATTATAAGTATAATTATAAAAAAGCACTTTATAAGAATTTAAAGGTTATCTAAAGCTAGTTTTACCTAGTAGCTAACATAAAAGCTAAGTATAGTATCTAAGATAAAAATAAGTATAACTTTAATAAGTTAAGCTTTATAATAAGCTAGATATTAACTAGAGCAGTTATTATAGCTTTAAAAAGATAAAAACAGCTAAAGGTAATATAGTAAAGTAATAAAAAGTAAATAATAGTTATCTAAAGCATTAACATAATAAGGTAAGCTATAAAATTATAAAGCTTTAAGCAGCAAATAAAGCTGCTATATAACATAAATTATATAAAAAAAAAGTAGATTTAAGTTAAAAAAACTTTAATAGTTAAAGATAAAGCTTATCTAACTACTTTAAAGAAGTTTAGAGTGTGTAGTAATAGAAAGAAGCTAAAGACGTAAGTATGCGCTAAAAAAAGTAAGCTAAGTTAAAGGTAATATAAGTAGTGTAATTAGACTAGGCATAACTTACATACATGTAAGTAAGTAGTAGAAGTAGACTTTAAATAATATCTTATATTATATTACTTTATACAGGGCTAAAGTGGGCTGTTTTGCGAGAGAATAGGGTGGTTTTAGTAGGGGCTTGGCAAAAGTGGCCGGCCAACCTGTGTGGCCGGCCAACCCGTTAGGTACGTTATAATGTAACAGCGTAGGCAAGACAATAGGTCTAAATGTAGTAGAAATCTACTTAGAGGCATATAGAAGTGCGTAGGGACTCTAAACCTAGGAATGCTATTAACACTTATAGGCCTTATGCAAAAAAATATTAGAAAACTACTAAGCTAGCTATAAAGGTAAAGTGTAACTAAATACATAAGAGAATAAGAGTAACAGTAGGAGGCAGGGCAAAGTTAGGGCTAGGTTAAGTTAGGGTCAAGCCAGGGTCGGAGCCGATACAGGGACCCTTTGGATGGGTTCTAGGCGACCTGAAATGGAACAAGAATTGTTACAGACTTAGCTTTTTTAGTTTTCTTACTATTAAAATTGCTAAGGCTTAGGCAGAGAGTGTTAAGCCTGTTTGCTGTTTAATGTTAGTTATATTTTATTATCTACTAGCATTAGACTAGTTATATACACTTACTTTTACTTATTATTAACATAAAGCCCTTTGTTAAAGTTTTATAGTAAAGTAAAGAAGTAAGAGAGGCAATTAGTAGACGTATATTAGATGCTGGCCTGTGCGCTAAGCGAGACGCCTGATTATGTCATCCAAGCTTCCGAAAAGGAAGGCTAATACCTGCTCGTTATCATCAAGCACTGGTACGGATTCCCGTAGTCTTTCAACAAACTGATTACACGTTAGATACTATTGATACCCTTAAACTTCATTAGGAGACACCTTTTCGTCGAATAGTAATTCCTTCAAAGTTGAATCCTTAAGGTCTGACTTGACAGCCTCGCTAACTTCGGCGCCCATTTGGTGAAGTGAGGTGGTGGTTGAGTGGTGGAGATTTGGCGCCGAAATTGCCGAGACCTGATCTCCAAAACATACCATCTACGCTAGGCTCAAACTGATCATGGAAAGGAAGGTGTTCCGCTCGCTCATCGTATCGGGTTTAGCGTGTTAATGCCTTTTACAAGACCACTTCGCTAATTCCTCGGGCAGGGCAGCGACGCCAATGCAGCAATCCCTGTACGATCCACATCTCCTCACCCTATTGCAACTTCGACAATGCATTTCCCATCCAAAGCGCTACTATTCGGAGCACACTGTTGCTTTGATTTCCTGCAATAAATCTGCAATTGGAGTGCGCCTATCGCTACGACAAATCACGCCATATGGTAGGATCAAGCAAAATTTAGTATGCTGGGCTTGCAGCGATGCGAGATGGGTCCTATAGCTATGGGCTCCACCACGTCGTCAACACCCCCTCTTCAGCTGCTGTCCGCGCCCCCTTACAGCAGACTCTATGATTCGATCTTCACGAGGGAAGCTAGCACATAACCCACTACTTAACTCAACTGAGCTTTCCAGGCCCAGAAGAACAATATCCAATATGCATAATCTGCCCTCTCCGGGATTATCTCAACCTGCAGACGAACGCCAGAGACTTGGTGCAGTCTAGAGTCCGTTTCTCAACTGAGCACGAGTAGACATAGCCGCAGTGTGTGGAGTTTAATTCGCTGTTACTTTCCCGGCCACGTACACTAGGAGCTGGGGTGATATGCAATAAAGGAAGCTTGCCAGAGAGGCACACTGCCTTAGAATAGGTATAAAAGCTTATGTTCACGTCTCGATCGAGCTTTTAAGCGCACCAGACAATATCAATATGCATAACCTGCCCTGTTCCTGACGAACATCAGAGGCTTGGTCCAGTTAAGAGACCGGAAGGCTCACGTCAATATGGATCGCTCAGGGAGGGTTCCGTTGCTAGTGTGAAGAGGCTTGCAGACTGATCGACTGACTCTCAGCTTCTCAGCTTTGATTTGGACTGGGATTATTGCGAACTGAACCGTTGGCAAACATCGCCGCAATGTAGGGAGCTTAATGCCCATGTTACTTTCCCGGCCACATTCAATGGGAGCGGGGGTGATATGTGATGAAGCTTGCTAGGTATAAAGGCTCACGATTACCCCAAAGGCTCAAGGGCACTTCGTTGGCAACTATCTGTTCTTGGTCACGTCGCTCCAAAGCATCACCTAATTAGCACAGTTGTCTGTACCTAGGCACGACGAAACTTTGACTTGCCATTATCCTCCGCGACGGGGAGCTACCCATAGGTGAGAACAAGTAGTGCCCCTTTCTGGACAGTATATTCACGTTCACACAGGGATCATATTGGTCGTCCCTCTACCTCTAAGCCGCTCGTCTACTTCTCGAGTCGAGCGTCCATCTGCTCCCCCTACTTCTCCTCGAGCTGGTCAACAGTCTCAGCGAGACGATCGTCAATCTCCACGAGGTCCTACTGCCACTCCACTACACCGGCGTCAGGCTTCGTCTGCCTTGGACGAGTCCAACAGGCACAATCCTCCAGGTGTCAGGACTCCGCCCCGATTGTCAAGTGCTACCATAGTAGCTGGTGCTGCGTCCGCCAGGCCTACAGACTCCTCTGGCTCTCTTCGAGACTCCAGGTCCCAATCTGCAGAGGCTCCGCCAGCATTCCGGCCTGGCTCCTTGCAGCTGCCCCTGATCGAATCGTTGCTGCAGCATCCTCCGCCCCGAACTCTCCAGCCTCCTCCCGACCCTTTCATGAATCTGCCAAGTCTCGGTCCTTACAGATTCCTCTCGACTGCTCCGCCACAACCTCTGGCCTACGATCTGCCAAGTGAGAACCTTTCGGCGCGGCCGATTCGCGACCCAGATATTCCAGCCAATATCCTCGCCCGGATTGGTAGCCGCCCCGGCCCTGACTACGAGCTCGGTTGGGTGAGGGCCAGTTCAAATCCGGCGGGCAGTTCTCCGCCTGCTGCTCGTCTCAGTGCGCTCAGCACCGGGCGTCGCTCTGGGAGGCGGAAGAGCGGCCAGGCGGAATCATCTACGAAGGCGAGGAAGAAGAAAACGTCTCGAAGTCCCTCTCCACCTCCGGCCAAGCCCTACCCTCATCATCCTGAGGATCCGAGCTCCACTTACGATCCTAATGAGACCTATCCTCACTGCCGTAAGTATCTCCTTCCCCTTCCTTCAACCTGTATTAACACCTTCAATAGTCCGTCTCATCAAAGCCTACGGTCGGATTGAGCTGTCCCTGTGCCAGCGAGCGCAGCAATCTCTCGTTCGGCACAAGGGAGCAGACGACGAGATTTGGAAGGCTGTCCCTGCTGCTGTCAAACCCTTCGCAACGGGCGACCAGAACGATCCTTTCTACATCATACAGGACTTCCAGGCTCGTGCCGATTCGAGCACCGTCCAGTCTGTAAACTTCCCACTCAGGCGGCAGGATTACCAGTACTTGATTATGGTCGCGGGCGCCCAAGGAGCAGTTGAGGTACCTCGAGGAAAAGAATGTAAGAGGTGTCAGGGCGTCATAAAGCCCAAGTCGGGTGTGACAGAGGATTCTTGCCGCACCTTCCCATACGGCGAGATGGGTAGATACGCGGATCGATCGTGCATCAATTGCGCAGACACCTGTACCAACTGTTGCTTGAGTATGCCTGTCCGACCTCTTTCCGAATTCCTAATGCTGATCCTTTTGTAGACCCGGAGCTCAAGGGTAAGACCCCGCCCCGATATGACCCGAAGAGGGATGCGGAGGCTCGGAAGAAGTTTTCTAGCGCTCGCGGTTATAACGACGACAATGACATCGGTGGTAGCGGCAAGGACAACCAAGGTCCTCCACCTCCTGCTCCTACGGTCTCCTAGACTTCGTGCGCTTCTTGGCGTGTTTCCTGGCGTTTTGGTATGGTTCTGGGTTTCTTTTCAAGACTTGATCGAGGTGCTTCTAGACATAGTGACTAGCGTAGGAAGGATTGATGTTGGCATACACGTCGCTTCTGGAGTCGTAACTGGTAACTTATTGAGATATTGATCCCCGCGTTATGCTCAATCGGAGTGTAAGGTAAGATCAATGATCCAGACATCCTCACCCATGATCTCACGCTGCCTTAGCCTGGCTTGAATTCGAATAGACCTAGCATTGTCTGTAGCTCGAATGTGGTGCACCGCGCAGCTTTTGAAGGAATATCGCAGAGGTGTCTTGACATTGAGGTTCTCGCACAATTGTTGAAGTGATTGCTTTTCTCCACTGACCTTAATAAACCCTGTTGAACTTAAAACTGCAAAACACACGATGACCTTTAAGCCTAATTCATTTCTGAAAAGCGCGGCTCCAACTTGCTTGTTGTCCATAGCGTGGCTTCTATAACGATTCATTGTCATCGTTTCTAGGTTCCATTGGTGTCTCGGGTAGGCCTGGATCATCTTAAAGGAGACTGGCCGGTTGCGGATCCATACCGATGAGGTAAGGCGTAATGCTGAGAGACTTGCATACGTCTGGAAATTGTTGCGCGGTATGAGAATTGTGCTAGACTTTGCAGCACCAAGTCGTCGAACATCTACTGAATGCATACCGGCTTGAGGATTGTCACATTGAATAGTGCATTTCTCGACTGAACATCCAACAACGGTTTCTCCCCATGTATTCTCCCATCCATGCTTCCTTAGATGCAGAGCTAGCACACTGGTATAGTCGTCCTCCGTACGGCAAGCTAGTATGCCTAGAAATGTCGCATCTGCGTCTAGCCGACGTGGTTTTAGTATGGGTAAGGTTATTCTCAGTCCACGGTGTGTCATTTCCCAGGAGTGGCTTATCTTTATCCCGCGAACACGAACGATTTTGCCGCAAGGATGGAAATGCCGTAGCGATGGGGCTAGGAGACCACCATCTATTCCTCGAAACCATAAGAACAAGGACGCATCCGCGGACAATTTAAGCAATTCATCCTGCAAACGCATGAAAGCTTTCTCGCCTTCGCCGTAAATGAGTGGTATGTTAACGTCTAACAGTCCTAATAGGCAGTAGGCTTGACCTTCAATCAGTGTGTCCAACCGTTAGTTACAGAGCCTTTTGGAGGCTGTATAGTACAGTTACGGAAGAGGAGGCTGTTACTAACTAACTGTACAGAGGATATAACGTCAGTGTACAGTTAGGATACAGTAACTAAAGTATATTAAAGTATTATAAAGTAATTACGCTAAAGCTAAAGACTATACCTAATTAAGAAGTTATAATACCCCTTATAAGATCTATTATTGTTAATCTTACTATTTTAATGTACTTTATAAGCTTAGTTAGCTTACTAGTAATAGCATTATTATATAACTAATTCTTTTGCAGTTAAAGAGCCTCTATTATTAACACTAATAGTTAATTCTTTTTTATTATAATAGTCTTTTTAGCCTATAAAAAGCACTACTTGCACTTACATAAAGTTGCTAAGATTAATAAAAAATTAAGGGCAATCTTATAAAAAATAAAGTAGTAAAGTTAACTTTACTACTACTACTACTTAAGTAGCTAAGTAAGTAGCTAATCTCTAGTGTACTTATCTTTTACTAAAAAATTAAAGTAGGAGTTTAACTTATTAACTTTCTACCTTCTCTTTAAGCTACAACCTTTGTTGTTATAAAGGATAGTAAAGTTAACTAAAAGGGCTTTTTTAAGGTGCTTATTATATAGGTTGCTGTAAGCTACTAAAAGCTTTCTTTATAATATCTCTAGCAACACTGCCTTCTTTTTTTCCTCTTTTTTCTTAAAGGTCTCTAAGTAGCGTGTTTAGATTTTCTAAATAAACAACTTTATATGCTTATACTAAAATAAGTAGTGTTTCTAGTAGTCTTTAAACTAAAGAAGGCAGAAAGACAGGTTAAAAATAGTTGCTATGCAGTAGTAGAAGATCTCTAGCTCTAAAACAAAAGTTTTCTAGTACATAGTAAGCTTCTTAATGCTAAAGGCAACACTATTTTTAAGGTAGTTGCTATAGTACTTATAAAATAGGCGCTCTCTCTATGCTCTAAGCTTATTATTAATTACCTGCAAGTATATAATTATTTACTATAAGCTGCTGTAGCCTAATTTGCTAGTGCTACCTTTAAGGTATTTAGTTATTTTATAAAAGATTTTTAAAAAGTCTTTTATACGCTCTACTTTTACCTATTTATTATTAGTAAGGCTATTAAGTAGAGGATTATAACTATTATTTTTAATATTATTATTAACTTTATTAGTAAGGCCTACATTATAGTGCTTAGATTAGATAAAGCGCTAGATAAGCTTTTTAAGTTTAAAACAACATAGAATTATAAAATAAATAAAATGCTACTATACACTACTATCTTATAGTAGATTTAGTGTACTAAATGTAACGGCGCAGGCAAGACAATAGGTCCGAATGCGGTATGAATCCACTCAGAGGCATATGGGAGTGCGTGGGGACTTAGAGACCTGGGAATACCAATAACACCTATAGGCCTTGTACGTAGGATATTAGAAAACTACTAAGCTAGCTACAGGGGCAAGGTGCGACTAAATACATGCAGGAATAGGGGTAACTGCAGGGGACTAGGTCAAGTCATGGTCAGGGCTGATACAGGGACCCTTTAGATAGGATCTAAGCAACCTAAGATAGAATAATTTGTAGAATTATTACACTACTCCCCCCTTTATAGGCTAATAGTCCTTATCTATAGTGTGTAGAAAATATTTAGAACTAATTTAAAACTAATTTAGATAGAATATAATAAGTATAACTATCTTAACTAAAATTTCTTATTACTAAGAAATAAACTAAAAACCTAATACTAATATAATGCCTTTATTATAATGTTTTTGTTTAGTAGTAACTAGCAGTGTAGTTATTATTAATATAGTAAATTTATTATTTATAGTAATAAGTGTTTACTTGCCTTACTTATATAGTCTAGTTAATGTTATTAGTTTTTTCTTTAGCTATTATCTAAATCTCTACTTTATAAGTATTATTGTGCACCTAACATTTTATAGCTTAGTCTGCTAACTAATTATAGCATTAAAGAAAATTACTATACTGCTCTACCCCTCTTCTAGAGCCTTTTTAGAGGCGTTTTAAGTTATCTGCTTTTAGGCTGCCTACGCCTTTACTTGTAGCCTTTAGGTTAAGTTTTCTTATTAGTTTTTTAAATTAAAGAAATGTAAATATTACACTTTACATAATAAAAAATATAACTTTATATAAATATAGTTTAATACTACTAGAGTATAGTTTACTAACGCGCACATAGGTCCCCTTTTATTATAAGAAGGAATTCTTAGTCCTTTAAAGCTATTTTAAGCTATAGGCAGCAGCCTAAAACATAGAAAGTAAAAAGAATAAAAAAAGGGCCTTTAAAGCTATTTTAAAGTTTGCTTAAAACTTAGTGTAAGTAGCGCAGGTTATAAAGAGTTAGGAAGCTAGGCTTCCTATAGCTAGTGTTTAGGTAGCCTTATTTTACTAGAATACTAAGCTGCTTTAACAGGTTTTAGCTTTAAAGGCTTTAGTGTCTAACCTTTAGGCAGACATTGCAGCGCTTTTAAGTAGCTAAGAATAAGGTAAAGGGGGTTTAAAAAGAGTCTAAAGGGAAGAGAGGAGAGGAGAGAGAAGAGGAAGAAGAGTAGAGAAAAAGAAAAAGAAAAGTCTAGAAGTGTCTAACAGCTTGCTGTTAGACTTTCTAAGCAACATGTCTATAAAGTTATAATAATATTATGTAAAAATATAATTTAACTTCTTACTTTTATACTTTATTATCTGCTAAGTAATCTATACCTTTTACACTAGCTTTAAAAGCCTTAATCTACTTTTATAAGGCCTTTAAAGGTCCTAGCTAATTTAGATGCTTATTATAAAAAGCTTTTAGTTTATAAAGAGAACTTATAAAATTTAAAGCTTTATACTAGACTAGATTAAAGTTATGTTTTACTTATTTTACCTAGTACTTAAGCGTTTTCTAGTAGAGCTTGCTAGTAAGTATTTCCTTTACTTTCTACTTTTTTACCTTATTAATAGTAATTCTAGGGGGTTTTAGAGGTTCTTATTTTAAAAGCAGATCCTAAGAGTCTTTATAAAGCATGTTTAGTGTAAAGACATTATGTATCTTTAACTTTAAAAGTAGCTTTAGGTAGTATAAGTTTTTAACTTATTTAAGTACCTTAAAGAGGCCTTTTTATTATTTAAATAGTTTTTAGCTAGGTCTTTAAACAGCAAAGTTTTTAGTGTTTAGGTAGACTATGTTACTAACCTTCTAGTTAACTAGCTAGCAGTGGCAGTTAACTATAGTTTACATCTAATTCTAGGCCTTTTCTATATAGGTCTTAGCTAACTTCTAGGCTGCATGCATGTAGGTTGCTAATGCTAGGGCATCCTTATAATTTAGCTTGTCTGTAGCTATAATAGGTTCTGTAGAATGTTTCTAGTCCTAGCTTTAACATAGTTTAGAGCTATATAAGACTTAATATAAAGATATTTTAATTATTATATAAGGTAAGGTTATCTAAGCCTAATTAATTAAGAGTAGTAAGAAACTCTAGTTATTTTAGTAAAAAAATATAAAAAGCTTTAGTCTTTAATTAATATACTTATTTATAATCTTTATTTAGCTATTTATTTTTTTATAATAAGTAGTAAAAAGCTTAACTTTTACACTTAAAATTTAATAGAATTTAGACTAAAAACTAGATATAAACTAAAGTTCTTAATTAGAAATAATAGTTTTAGGTGTGTAGCTAAAACAGTACACTTATTAAATAAATAAAGTAGCTATTTCTTAGGTGTTAATTATTTTATAGTAAGAAATAGAAATAGCTTATTTTAATAAGTAATTAATTATAACTATAATCTAATTATATCTAGACTTGTCTTTAGAAAACTCCTTAAAGTTAATGCATAAGTGCTACATTAGTTAAGCAAGAATTAGTAGGGGGTAGATAAAGCCTAGAGTTTAAGTCTATTTTAGATAAGCCTTATAATAAGGGAGGTAATTCTATACATATTATTTATAAGTAGCCTTTATACCCTTTTAGTAGTACTTTTAGGCTAGTAACTAATAGGTCTTAGTAGCACTTAGGTGTGCTAAGGATACTTAGTTGTAGACTTCTTAGATAAGTTAAGTACATAGTAATAAGTCTGCTAGCACACATAAGTAGTTAGCATAGAGAAGTAGTCTATTTTCTATTTAATAATAGTAGGGTAGGAGTTCTTGCTTTTATATAAAAAAGGCTTAATTCTTTTAAAGTAATACATTAATTAATTTTAAAAAATTTAAAGACATAACTTAGTCTAGTTCTTTTATAACATTTAGTGTAGCTACTTAAGTTATTATTTAAGTAATATAGTACTAGGCTAGTTTAGAGTTAATTTAGGGGTGCAGTTAGTGCAGTTTTAGTAGGACTCTTAACTTATTATTAGTTTAAGCTGCTTTTAAATTTTCTATGTCTTATTTATAATAACTAAGAATGTCTGCTCTAGTGTTATTTTTACTAGGGGTGTACTTAATTTAGAAGCAATACTAAGCTAACTTTTTAGCCTAATAGACCTAATAAGCATTTAGCACTTTTATTATTATAAAGTACTTTAATAACTAATAATTAGTATATACTAAAGTGCTTGTTGCTATAGATGTAAGCTTAGCCCTTTATTATTTAAATGCTATAATAATTGTAAATAGCTTCTTATTATGTATCTTCTAGTTTAGCTCTAAACTAGATAGGACCTTACTATAGAACAATACTAGGCACTAATTTCTATCTACTTGTTCTTAAAAAAGGACTTCTGCTACTACTTTATTAAAAGTGTTAGTTTTAATTTTAGTTTATAATATAAAGTTAAAATAGCAGAGTGTAAGTATACTTAGTAGCGCAGACTTTAGCTTTTTAAAAGCTACATTACACTCTAAAGTCTATATAAAAGGGGTAGTAAAGCTCTAAAGTGTAATAATTAGTTTTGCTATATAAAAGAATTCTAAAATAAATTGCTAATAGAATTTAGTAAAGCCTAGAAAGA